GGTGGCAGGCAGCAATGGGCAGTAGTGAGTAGCAGTGAGGGTATTTTTGTTCAATCCTTACAAAATTAAAGCTCCTATTTGGGTTATATTCAAACCACTATTTTGAACTGTTATAGCAAGTTATTTATGAAAAAACAAATTACGACACTTGATGAATCTTACAAAAAGTGAAAAAACCATATAAATTTGAAAAATACGGAGTAATATTAAAAATAGTACAACAACATCAACAACATCCAAGCCTTAATCCCAAAAGAAATTGGGGTCGGCTAACATGAATCGATCAATGATATTGATGCCAAACAGAGAAGACGGGCAAGAAAGGGAAGAAAAAAAAGTAAGATAAAACAAATAAAATAAAGATAAATAAATATAAGATAACAATAATACAAGAATATAAGCAAGATAAAAGATAAAAAAATAGCATAAAAAGCTAGAATATAAAAATAACATAAGAATATACAAAGATAAAGAAGATAAACGACAAAAGAAAATAGAGAGGAAAGGTAGAAAAGACATCAATCGTCCACACGGATGTGCACCCTCCACTTCGCTCTCTCCAAAGCCATACTCTCATCCAACCCAATAAGAAGCATATCAGTTCTGATTCCTCTGACCCAATATTTTAAGAATCCAAAATAATGGGTTGATAAATACTCCCTCCGTCCCTTAAAACTTTGCCAAGCTTGAACGACACGAGGATTAATAAAGTAAAAACTATGTGGCAGAGGTTTGTGCAGAGGAGAGAGAATTGATTATACCCACAATTTCTTTACTTAAAATGGAATGTGGCAAAGTTAGCGGGACATCCAAAAAAGGAAAGTTGGCAAAGATTTAAGGGAGAGTACTTTTGAAGGAAGTATATGATTATATTAGTATATTAAAGGAGGGTACTTTTGAAGGACCCTACCTTCAAGATATTATGATATAGGAACAGAGAGATGAAATTTTATCTGTTCATACATATCGGACCACTTAAAAAGGAAGTGTGACGTTTTATTAAAGTGTCACAAAATATAAAACCACATATTAAGTCATGAGAAATGACAAGTGAATTCTTGAGGTAACGCGTTCTCATTTTTACTGTTACTTGAACATCAAAACACTAAAGGAAAAACTACACAAATAAGCCTAAAAGTGAAAATAATATCACTTTTTTCAATTTTCAAAGTTCTTTTCAAAAATAGACTTAGTATGCATTTCTTTTCACTTATGAACCATGCGGATGAATATCAGTTCTTATTCCTCTAACTCAGTGTCCCAGGTGTCGAAACTCTGGCAGGGAACGACGTTCCTGTCAGCGTTCCCTCAAGAACGACGTCTCTACTCCATTCCTCCCAGCGTCGAACTCTCTGCCAGTCGCCTGTTTTAATTTGTAAAGGTAGGAACGCCTAATAGGAATGTCGTTCCCACCAGCGTTCTCTCCGGCATTCCTTTTCAAGGGAAGGTGTTCCTTCACGGCGTTCCCACGTTTCCCCCTTGTATAAATAGCACCCTTGTTCGAATTTTCCTAGTTTTGGTCGTAAGCTTCCTTAAAATAATTTGCACTTCATTTCTTAATATTATTTGCATCAAATCTTGAAACTAGTTTCATTTAAGCCATTAGATTGCATCATTGTCATAGTTCTACCATCTTATCCATTTATCTCACTTCATGTCTATGTCTAATATTTCTTTTACGAATATGAAATCTAGCATGAGTGAGTAGTTGGATTAGGGATTGGGGGTGTTTGAGGAACATCCAATCATGTGATGTGTTAGGTTTTGGGGTTTGAGTTGGGGGAACTTTAGAAATATATTATGCACACAATGTGTTTATGAAAATGCCTCTTTGTATTTCTAAGACTTTGATGGCTACAATGTTCTTAGATGTTAGTTTGGACTCTCAATGAGACTTGTAGGGTTCCTTTGGACACATTCACACACACACACACACACACACACTACCCCTCTCCATGAGAATGGGAGAAGGTAGGGGGAAAATGTTTGTTGCTCTTCTTTGCATGATATATTCTCAAGTATCCCATTTTGACCCCTTATCCTTAATCATAGGTTGTTGCTTGTATGCCCCCGCTTCCCTTCTAGTTTAGTTGTGATCTATTTTCTTTGCAAGTTAGTTAATCTCTTTAATCAATCATATTTCGACTTGGCTAGCTTACATGTTTGATTTCTAGATTGATTTCACACTTGATTTTCCATATACACCTTCCCATGAGACGATATCCGGGACTTCCATATCCCGACACCCGATGAGCATTATTGTGAAAATAACTCGTCAAACTTTGACGCCGTTGCAGGGGACGGTGTTGAAAGTTTAAGTGTGATAATTGCTCTAAGTTATCTAGTGAGACTAGTCTTTACTTTCTTTACTTTTTCCTTTCATTTGCATTTCACTTTGTGTTGTTCGAAACGTCTTGGGTGTTTGAATTTTCATTAGGATCTGACTTGAAGCCATAGCCTCTCCCTTTCAAACCCTGCTGTTCCTCTCGCCCTTCCATAGATAATTTGCCAAATAAGGAAGAGAGAAGAAGGGTGAAATTTATTTTGGACCTACCAAAAAGGAAAGTGTGAATTTCATTTGGGACCGGAGGAAGTATATCTTCATATACTCGTGTACAATAAATTGTACTTGGACGGGAATCCATACTTAATAATTGTCACATACTTCGTACTATACTAGTACTTTATATCAGAAGATAAATATGACTAGAGTCTGTAATATAATTCTGTGTCATCGTTAAATAAAATGAATAGAGTACGTATTTAGGATAAATAAATAAAGAAACTTGGTACTACGTATGAGATTTTAATTAATACATGCTTTTCTAGTACTTCAAAATCTCTAACTTTTGCCCAATTTCTTATAGCATTCCCTTTTGGTCCTTATTGCTTGTTTCACCTCATCATTCCCCCAAGACGTGTCTTTTTTTTGGTGGCAGACATCCTTTAGATTCTCCGAGTATCTCCTTCGCCACTTTGTTAATGGTGGACTCCATTGATAACCACACATCATCCACATGTGCGTCATTATCAATAGACCTCACATCTTCCTCCAACATTTTGTGTGCAAAACTTTGTTGGAGATTCCCTCGAGCCTCCACCATTTTATCTTTGTCTCCCCTTGTACCTTAACACGTCTCCTCTTTTTACCTTGAAAATCAAGCACAAGCATCCTATGCTGAGTGACAACACTCTCACCTGGGATAACCTTACAATCAGTGTAGCTAGTTCTCCAAGTCATCCGTACTAAAAAGTAGTCAATTTGGGTACTATTAGCTCCACCTCTATAGGTGACAAGGTGAGAGTCTCTTTTCTTGAACCAAGTGTTGATCACAGCCAACTCATATGTTGAGGCAAAATCCAAAATGTTCTTCCCCGCTTCATTTCTAGTGCCAAAGCCATGTCCGCCATGGATACTCTCAAAATCATCCCGACTTGGGCCCACATGCCCGTTGAGGTTGCCTCATATTACCAGCTTCTCTCCCCTTGGCACTCGTTGCACCACTTCCTCAAGATCCTCCCAAAATTGTTGAATGATAGATGCATCCAATCCCACTTGTGGTGCATAGGCACTTACCACGGACACGATCTCATCTCCTATTATCAACTTAATGCTCATGATGCGATCATTCTTCCTAAAGACTTCAACCACACCCTCAACATAATCATGTACCACCATAATTCCTACTCCATTTCTATTCCTCTCTCTCCCCGAGTACCACAGCTTAAAACCTCCGGGATTAATCTCACATGCCTTTTCTCCAACTCACTTAGTTTCTTGCATGCACATTATGCTGATATTCCTCCTCTTCATAACCTTAGCGATCTCAGATGATCTTCCCGTAAGAGAGCTAACATTCCATCTCCCAAAACACAATCTAACACTCTGCCTTCTCTTCTTCACACCACATCGAACCCCACCATGCCCTTGCATATTTGGCACCATCCTCGGGCATTGGAGTGGCGCGTCGCTTCCGGGCGATGACCTAGCAGCCTTAACATTCTTATCACCACACCCAGGCCTATGAAGTGTAGCGTGCCGTTGCTCATTTGACACCACCCCAGGCGAAGGAATGACGCGTCGCTTACGGGCGACAACCTAGCTGTAGCGATATTCATATTTCAATTCATATCATGTGATGTGACTAAGTGATACTGTTGGCCGTCACACGGCTACCACAACACCCTCCTTCTTTATATTAAAAATAGTAAAAATGAAAAAATATATAAATAATTTAAAACGTTACAATAAAAAATACAAATTCAGAAAAGTGAAAAAATAAAATAAAAACGTAGAAATTATACGGAGTACTTTGTAAATTAAAATGTAAAAAATTTAAAAAACTGTAGAATATAAAAATAATTCAAAAATGAAAAAATATACACTGATGCTTCTAAAGAAATTCTCCTATTCCACTATCAATTAAACAAATCATGGATCTAGGGATTTTGTGTAATTTTTCTCCTAAAAAAATCTTAATACGGCCTAGTCAGACCAATGCTCTGGTTCGGCTCTTGTCTTATACTATCGTATTCTCTTTTTAGTGTATTCTTTTGTTCATTTCTTTTTCATTCTTAATTACTCCATTCTTATTCCCTCTATTGACCTCTTATATTGAGCACCTTATCTTTATTTTTTTGTTCTTATATTGGTACCTTATTTTCTTTCTTTTCTTTTTTCGTTGTTCTAAACAATACAATATCGATGCAAAACGCACACTTTAAAGTGAGAAAAAAAATTACAGTAACGGCAAAACCGTAATGGATACAAATTGATTATTGTGGTGTTTTTTTTTGCATATCGATTTACACTTTTAATGTTATATTATATATCTTCACATTGCATGCTCGTGTACAATAAATTGTACTTGGACGGGAATCCATACTTAATAATTGTCACATATTAAGATGACCTGTTTGCTTTTCACGAAGTTTAAAACAATTACCGTAGACTTTATAAAAAAGTAAGAAGTTTTTGGTATTGTAGCGGTACTGCATTTGCTTTTTGAGTGAGATTCTTTCCAAAAAAGAAAGGAAACAATGAATTTGATACATCAAAAAAGGAAAGTGACAAATAAATAGATACAGAAGTAGTACTATACTAGTAGTTTATATCAGAATATAAATATGACTGTAGTCTATGTTTTGATTATAGGTATCTGTAATATAATTCTCTACCATCATCAAATAAAATGACTAGAGTACGTATTTAGGATAAATAGATAAATAAATAAAGAAATACTTGGTACTACGTATGAGATTTTAATTAATATGTTGCTTTTCTAGTACTTCAAAATCTCTAAAGATCGTCCGTCCCCCATATACAAAAGATGTTCAATCAATTTGGGCTGGGCCAGAACAAATATGAAAGGATCTACAAATTAAAGTCGCTGGGTCCTCCTGTCTTCTTTCCGGCCCGTTGGTCGACTTGTTCTTTCACTTCCTCCATGAATTCGACTTGCTACTTCACATCTATTCATGTCGATTTGGAGCGTGCTAGCTAGCTTCTCAGCCGTTGGATGAATTTGCATGATCCAACGGTCCAGCTGATTTCACATCATAGTCCACCATCTCCATGCACAACTAATTAATTAGATTATTTATGCTGTACTAATTAACTAAGGAATATTATTATATTCCTTCCTGCTCTCGATCATCAGATCAAACCCGCCAACGAAACTGCACAAAACTGATTTATTGAGAAAAATGATTAGATAACTAATTAATTGTATGTAGGTGTAGTTAGGGGCAGTGATAGATAGGATGTCTCACCAGATGATTAATATATGTGTTGGGGTTATAATATGTATTAATGGAATGAACACAAGTTGTTGCTGCTGAATCCATTTTCATTAATGAACTTCTGTCTGTGATCTTCCCCGCCCCACAAAACCTGTCCATTGCCCTGTAAATGATGTCATTCTAATTAATACATGTACCATATTTCCGGCTTCTAGCACGAAAATCGGCTGATTTGACTGATTCTGTTGAAATTTACGAAGTTATGACTGAAGTGGCTGATTTAAGAAAAAAATATTTTTAAAATATATTTTATTAATAAAATAAAGAAAAAATAGTTAAAATGGTTGATAAAATAAAGAGTAGGACAAATCTCATGCATTGATTTAATAGATCTATGGATGATACAAAAATGATATAATACCCCTCCTTCCAAAGTATGCATTAAAAGTTTTGGTACTGCTGGTCTCCGGTCAACTTTTATTAAACTTATAAAGCTTTTAATGTAGTTTCTGAATATATAAAAATAATACGGAGTATTATTATTGAAAAGGATCCGTTAATTTTCAAGCGTGAGGCGAAGAGAGTGTAGTTAATATTGGGGTTACCAGATTGAGGGGATTAGTTAGGGCATGGGGAGTTTGTTGATGATAGAGGCGAGGCGCTGAGCAATCCAAGAGAGGAAAATCGTCGCAATTTGGTGGAGGAATGGCGGTCAACACTGTATTTGCGTCAGACACCACAGCTGCGGCGGTGGGGTTACACAATACCTGCTGCTGAATATTTGCCATTGCGCCATTCATCCTCTCTATATTCATGTCCTGAAATTATTGTATCCCAAGGATAATAATAGTATCATTATTATTTCTCTTTTTCTTCATATATCCAACATAATCTCAGCTTTCCAATCTTTTCTTTTTCCCATAAAAAAGAGGTTACTTTTTCCTAGTCCCTACCACAAAAGAAATCTATCACAAATGTTACTAAATCAAACCAAACAATCCCTACATATCCTATTGACTACGGAATATCGGAAGCGAAAATTGTAATGTTCATGTACTTAATATCTTATCTCAAATAGAAAAAATTGCCCGTGGGGAATTCGGAATTTTGTCTATTCACAAATCATATCTTTGAACTACAAATTTATAAGACTTATCCATCAAAATGTTTTATTTGAGGCAACCTAGCTATAACGTACATATTTCTCGGTGTGTATGTTCTTTTGTAGACAAACATTTTGGGACATCCGTTTCGGGAAAGTGTGACAAACATTTAGGGACGGACGGAGTATAATATAATGGTCTGCATATAACTAAGTTATTGGATTAATAATGAATACAAACATGAGTTACAGAATTAAATCAACAAAACTCGAAGAGAAAAAGTTAATTACGGATTAAACACTTAATAATGTCCAGTCTCTAGCTGTTTTTCACAACTAAAAGAGTCTCCACTACGGTTCTAATACTAAAAAAAGATTATTGAAAAGACAACTCTTTTATTGAAAAAGTTTAGTTTATCTCTTTGATATATCTATTTTTGCCTTTTCTTGCAGCTAATAATGTTTCTTGAGGAAATTAAAAAAAATGATGATATGATAATATACCTGCTGGTCAGGTCTCATGATAGGGTCCAAATCCATGCCATAGTCATAAAACATGGGACTCACTGAAGTAAGCTTCATTGACAGAAACTGTAGAAGAGAAAGTAAATTAGTCAAACAGATTTCATATTACCTTAATAATATTAATAATAATAATCCCCATATTGAATGGATGGTTTATTTATTTATTTAAAGATTATTAATTACCTCAACTTGATTTTGCAAGGATTGGACATAGTTGATAATCTCATCTAACATGAGGGCCTTCCCGGAAACTTTGTCACAACCAGGGACAAGATCTTGCAGTAATTTCATCCTTTCACTTATTTTCTCCCTCCTTACCTGAATAATTAATTTATTTATTTTTTGATAAATATAATTAATTTTGTACATAGGAATATTGAAAATAGCTAGGGTACGTACCCGTTCGGCGAGACTGTGACTGTCAGTTGCCTGGCCCCTTCGTGCCCTTACATGGATGTATCCTGTAGGGGCCTCTTCTGTACATTTCTTGTCCTCTTTGGTCTTTTTCTCCTTCCCTTCTTTCACTGCATTTCCTTTTCTCTGCCTCTTTCCTTCTTCACCTTCCCTTCCATTATTATTATTCTGTAAATATACAATGTTAGGTATACTTTCTTATCATAACAAATTAAAGATGAATCTTATTCCATCCTTTCTAAAATAAATGAAGTTTCCACTTTCCATTCTTGGTCCACATTCAAATAACCTTGACCTTTTCCTAATATACTAAAGTGCATGTACCACTTAATTAGATACTATACTATACTATACTCTTGAACAATTTGTTTTAACATGCATAATACTAAAATTTGGATAAATGATTAATTGTTAAAATTTATAAAAGGGTTTTCTTGAAATAAAATTTATAAATGAAAACCTGGCTAAAATTATTGTGTACACAGTCATGCCGCTTCAATATGGATGGTAGAAGGCACTGTATTTCCAAAATGATGTTTTCCCAAAATAATGGTCCTGGTGGAAAGAAATATGTTTCTCTTTTTGGCCAAAAGAAATATGTGATTCATATCATTTCACTTTATTATACTCAAATCTCAACCACAACTTTTACTTTTTCAATCACCTTATTAAAACTTGTGCCCAAAAGAAATGAGACTAAAACTGAGGGAGTAATATCAAAGGACAAACTCATTATGGGATGAAGAGATTACATGGAGCATACTATTCTTAGCTATATTTGCTTTGTAAATCAACTTGGACGGAGATAGTAATATATAAAATGTTAAGGCTTGGGGTTAAACTTAGCATAAAACACAAGAATAAATGGTGGGATTAAGGAAAGGCAGTTGATAAGTTGAAAGTGGGAAAGAAATAGGTTTTACCTTGGAAGATGGAAGGGAGTTGAAAGAAGAAGAGTGATTCTTGGATTTCCTTTTCCTGGGCATTATTGATGGGGTAGCAGATTGGTGAGTCACGTGGTCCCCACTCTCATGTCTAGTAGTTGTCACCGAGGAAGAGGGGGAGGCGGAGGTGGAAGCGGCGGCGGCGGCCTCGGTGATATTATTGTCGGTGGTCAGAAACGGGGAGGGCTCCTGACCAGATTCAGACTGCAGGTAAAACTGGGAAAATTTGTGGGTGTTTTCACCCATGAAATTTCCAGAGGGAATCTTGTACATGGAGGAATTAGGTTCTAGAAACACTACGGATGATGAAGATGAAGTTGAATCAAGAAAGCTTTGGTATGTTGGGAAAGCTGCCATTTTTATTCTCTTTTCTTTGCAAGTTTCTCTTTTTCTTGACTAGCGGTTGAGAAAGTTGCAAGAAAATGAGAGATGAGCAGCAAATAAATTGGTCTGTAGAAATCCAAGTGTTCAGGTTTTTATATAGGCTAAGTGGCAGCTAGCTGAGAGAAAAGAGAAGGCAATAACTTTAAAATGAAATAAATAAATTAATAAATAAATAAATCTTTTTTTCTTTGATTCTGGTAGTCTCGTCCTACATTTGACCGGTCTTTTCTTGGAGCTTCTATTTCTATTAAAGAGAGATCTTTTTTTTTTATCCCGAGACATAAAAACTACAGTAGTTTTTTCTTACATATTCAACAGTTATTTTGTGGAAGCTACGGTAATGATAGGGGGGTGCCACTTTTACCGGCAAGTGTTTGAGTAGTAAATTATTTCACCAGAATAATGACACTTTTAGCTCAAACAAAGTCAAAATTCAAAATCCGAACACTGTATCATTCAATCAATGAATGTTTGTTTAACTTATCTAGCTATTAACAAGGATTTTTATTGCTAGTTAAAACATGACCATGTGAGTTCACTAATGGAACTACAATTTAAATCGGAAAAAAATCGTTTAAATAGAATTAAAACATAACATATTTTTTTATGCATCCGAAATAATAAAACGAATACTATTGTTTTCTTTTAAAAAATGATTATTTGCTCATATTTCAAAAAATATATTTTTTGGCCACAAACATACAACTAAACATTTTTTTGTTTTATTTTTCAATATACCTAAATAAGTCTTATTTTGGTAAAAACAAACAGAGAATATTACCCAAAATAGGACTAAAACAGTTTGAAAATTTCAAAATATGACTGTCATGTTTTTATTCCCGAAATAGGACTAATTACTGTCATGTTTTGAGAATATCATACTTCAGACATGGCAGTATTTTCTAAATTTCACAGTAATTATTCCTATTTAAGGAATAAAAAAATGGCAGTCCTATTTTAGAATTTTCAAACTCTTTTGGTCCTATTACGGGAACTTTCCCAAAAAAGCATATATTCCTTCTGTCCCTAAATAAATATCTCACTTTCTTTTTCGATATGTATTTTAAAAAGTCTCATTTCCTTATTTGGTAAACAAAACAGTGCAAAATAGTGTCAAACAATACCAAAACAGTATCAAACAGTGTCATTTTCTTAAATTGTGTATCATTCAAAGTGATACTTTAAAATTTGGGAAGAGAAAATTAAAACTTCACTCATGTTTAACCAAGCATTCCAGCCCAACTGGTTGTGAGGTTACCCTGCCTAGTGGTTGTAAGCGTTTGAAACTCAATTGAGTGAGTTTCAGCCTTGATTACTCCAATCCCCCTGGAGTATGTTTTTATCAACCCCGGCTAGCGATGGACCGGTTCGGGGCCGGGCCGGGCCCGACCGGGCTTTTTGTGGGAGAAGTGAAGCCCGGAACATACCTGGCCCGGCCCAATCCCCCAACCGGGCCTAGGCCCGGAATCGGTTATCCTAGACCGGCCGGTCCAGGCCCACATAGTAGCGGGTTGGACCGATTCACTAAATTAAGGGCCCATACCTGACCCACCCCAATCCCCCAACAGGGCCTAGGCCCGGAACCGGTTACTCTAGACCGGGTCGGGCCCACACAGTACGGGCCGGGCCGGTTTCATGAGCCGTGCGGCTCGGGCCCGATCCATCCCTAACCCCGGCTAGCTCAATAGGAGATCAATACAAAATGCGGTCGACTTGAAACTCATCTATTCATGATACATTTGATTGATAATCTTCTCTTCATTAGTGACAACATCCAAAAAACGAATTTTGTTGTGTTTACAATGAATCGTAATACAGGAGGTATATAAGTGTTTGGATTTACTTTTTAAACCCGATTCTGGTTCTATTTATGTCTTTGAAAAATATTGAGAAGTAAAATTAATTCCAAACACTCCTTAATTGCAAATAAGAAAAATAGTTAGGTAAAGGACGTTCATGTTGAGAATGCGTTTTACAAAACGTGATTGCATTCAAAAGTTTAATAGATCTCGTCGTATTAACTCAATAATCCTTAATTAAACGTCATTAATGAAGCCCGTTAACAGTCCATCTTATTCTTGTTGAGATTGAGTCATTGAGCGGCAAAAGCAATAAAAAGAGTTAGCTATTTTTACTTGGACTGCAATTTTCTGATCTGGTCTGCTAAAGTCTGATCTCGTTGTATTTTATAATTATCTAAGTCTGATCTGATTTTGTTTGGTCTGGGATCGAATACCGTCCAAATAAAAACATCTATAATCACATTCATGGCCCGTAAACTTTCAAACATGAGTTACCGTTGTGAAAAATAAAAGAATTTAATTCGATCGTGCCCTCCTAGTATAAAAGATACTCCCTCCGTCCCGGAATTATCTTCATACTTTCTTTGTCGGTCTGTCCCAAATTTATCTCCTCTTTCCCTTTTAAGCAAAGAATTTGTGCTTCACAACCATTCTTACACATTCTTACACATTTCTCTTTCCTCTGCACAACTCTCTATCACACATTTCTCACTATCTTAATATGTGTGCCATTTGTACTTTAGGAGATAAATATGGGACGGAGGGAGTATAACATGAAGAGAAATTAAGAATGCTTATATTGATTGTACTTGCAAAAATTTAAATGTTTAATACTTTGGTCTCATCCCACTCGATCTTGTCTATTAAATATAGTATGGATCGCTCGCTACTTTAATTTATTAATCATGTCGAATAAGAGAGAGTGAAATGGATGTAAATTAACAAAATGTCCTCAATTTTTCTCGGGGTCATTAAATTATCCAATTTTAATTGTACATCTGAAAAATCCTCTTTACCTCAAGACTTTTGTGACATTGTCGTATACCATCTTCAACTTTGGATACGATCATTATTCAGTCTTATGACTAAGTTGACGTTTTCACCAATGGTCTTCAGTAAATTTCCCCATCATGAACCGTATTTAGTTAATGAACCATAAATCAAGGGAATTGAATTAATTATTATTATTATTATTATAATTTGTAGATGTTTTCCTTCATGGTTTGTGTTGAAAGAGTTATTAAAAGGATGTGAAATTGATTCGAAAAAAATTGTGAAAATGAGGTATTTTGAAATTACTCCATTTTAATTTTTTTTTACACAAACGTTCAGGCTGGTCCTGCGCATGGCGCAACATGTACATATTCCCCGATTCCTACAAAACTCTATCAAATTTATTTTTTATCTATACCAATTTATTTTATCATTTTCATTTAAAATAATAAATGTATGATTAAAATTATTTCCTTCTCATATATATATATAAATCTCAACTATACAATTTTTACTTTATTTTATTTTACATGTACAAAGTATCGTGGGATAGATGGAGTATTTGTGTGTAATAAAAATAAAAACTTAAATAGATGGAGTATTTAATGATGGAGTATTTAAGAGCCTCTATAACAACACTCAAATTAACTGAATCCATTAATATTGCCGAAATTGATAAAGTTTTCAATAAAGTGGCTGAATTGCATCGGCTGAATTTGTCGAATTATAAAAAAGTTATATTTACGATATATTTTCTTGATAAAATAAAGAATAACTGATTCGGTAAATAAATAGAGTATGAATTGGAGCTTAACAGGGAAATTTCTCTTTTAATTTACGGTAAATTTTGAAGTTTTGTATTATGTTATATGCCTTAATATATGCCTCATGTGTGATGCCTTTGAGTAGACTTTATGTTACTCGTATATTATCATGAATCGGACCGGACCGGTTCTAAACAATGTCATGATCGGTTCTCATAAAATGAGAACCGCTACCGGACCGAATCAGTCCGAAGTATTTACAATTAATTAAATTTACATTTATACCACTACTTAGACTAGTGTCTTCACACTTTCAACGTCTTTGCTAGTTCATAGGAAGCCTCGAACCAGATCGGTGTAAGGTTTAATTATTAAAATTAGTACTACTATAGTTTATCTGAAATTTATTAATTACGTAATACTACCTCAGTTCCAAATTGATTTGCAAAATTAACTTTTCTTGTTTAAATAGTTCCATTTTATTCACTAAATGAGGATGTCGAAATTTTAATTATATTTAATTTGGAGTTTGCAACTTTGAAGAGATTTTAATGTAGTTTTTGAATATGTAAATTTTAATTGTTAAAAATTGAATTAATTATCAATAAAGAGGATTCAACTTTAATATTCGTTGACAAAAAACATTGACTTTGCATATCAATTTGGGATGGAGTATTGAAATTGATAAATTGTGTGGATTTTTGGAGGATGACTAAACTTTAATTTTCCCTTAAACACTTAAAAAAATGACATTGTTTGGTATTGGTATGATATGGTATCATCCCGTTTGAAAATGGAACCGTACCGAATTGGTTTAGGTCTAAGACTGAACTGAACCATTTGAATAGTAACGGTACGGCCGTACGGGTACGAGTTCGGCCAAATATTGGACCGGACCGCGCTGTGCCCACCCCTACCTAGATGAAGCACAAGATAAAAAATGGCTCTGTTTGTTTTTTGGCGGATTCGGAGCAAACCGTTGCAAAATGAAGGGTTTTCATTTGAAGAAAACGGTGGATTGAACCCAATCTGCTATTAACCAAACGTAGCCATTAACCTTTATACTCCATTACTTTAGCGGATGTACTAGTTAAGTTTTTTGATAAAAATATGAGTAGTTAAGTTTTTGTAGAAAATTTTAAAATAAGTCATATTTTTGTCTTTTGAGTTAAATTTAGTAATACTCCTGAAAAAAACCAAACAAACAGTATCCAACCGTAGAAGGGAGTTCTGAACCCAACGGTAAACCATAAAAGCTTCAACCAGACTATGGGAAGGCAAATGATAAGCCATCCCACCCCATTGCTAAGCTCACACAGCTAGGCCAAGGTGGGAGATGGACTTGTACAAACTTCTGCCCATTGCCTCCTACTACGTTGGAGTTTGGATCCTCTCCGGTAACTGGATACTTCATGTTGGAGAGAAATAGAGAGGATGAAAATTATGGTGGGGTATGTTGATTAGTAAGATAGAGAAAAAATTAATGATAGATAGAAAGAAAAAAAGAAATGGAAGAAAAATAGAGAGAAAAAACGGAGAGGAGCTGGAGTCCCTACGTTGGTTGTTTCACAAGAAGATTCCCCCAGGCTGCTAGCTTTAAAGCTTTTATACCGTACGTACGTACGTCTCATTAACTCTTGAGGAGTGTACCTAGCCTGTAGCCTCTTCTCCATTACATTAACCGTACTGGGAGGACCGTACACAAGTACTCTTTCTTGTCTCATTTTTGACAAGAATCTCTTCTTCAGGAAACTTCCCCTGCCTTTTGTTTTCCTTACAAATGGCAAGGGGAAAGAAGCTACCCTTAAACTGGGAACTCTTGTGGATGAATGATGAATCACTTTCTAAATTTCATTTTTTACTTTTGAGAGTTCAATCATCTTGCAATGAAGGTGGGTGAATAAACTAAACTTTGTATGTCCACATATTCACTCAACACAATTTTTTAATAAAAATATGCACTTTTATTATTATACATCATTTTTGTGCCAATTTTTTTGAGAATAATTATGATCAAGGAAGTCCGGCATTCTGTAAAAATTATATGAATTTGGATTTTAATCTTTTTGTCACTTCGGACCTATTTCTGAAAACAATGTGAAAAATGCAAAAAATTAACTGTGAAGCGTACACTTCATTCGTTTATGAAATAAGACAAACAAAAGACAACGCTAAAATGAGAATGAATAAAATTTTTACAGTCTCTCCATTTATTTATCGTACAACCGGTTGTAGGGGTGTGTTGCATAACCCTGCACCTCCTAATTTACAGCCTAAGAAACAAAACATAATTAGATTGGTGAAGAAAAAGAAGCAATGCCCAGTTATATGAAGAAAAATCTAAAAGCCACGGCAAACACTCCACAAATTCAAACTTTTAATACACTTTCAACCATTTTTTTTTCTGATTTGATTAATCTTTGTGACAAGATAGCATATTGGAACTTCAACAGCCTTTTAATCAGGAGGATTGACACATCCAACCGTACTTCGGTATGGGCCTATTAGCTGCGGGGACAGAATGCACTAAGCTTGGGGGGGCTTCTCCGGAGGTCAAATTCTGGAGCAATGGTTCCTTCGACATCCTCCTTACGCCTAATATCAACAATGTATGCATTCCTCTTTTGGGGATTGAAAAGGCAACTGTCTTCTGGTCTAAGCTCATTAGCAGCTTTGAACTCTTTCCAACCACTTGCTAAGACAGTATAATGCTTCTTCCTACATAACATAACTGGCCAAACTCTCTTTGCCGCGTCTCTAAGAAATATGATGTCATTTTCTTTCCTTTCAGTTTTCGGCCAACAGTCTGGTAATTCCTGCATTGTAAAACGGTGTTATTTTATTAAAACGTTGGCTTACTATTGAATTAAACGTTCAATCCAATGAAACTCATATACCAAGTGTCAAAAATAATATACTTTCTGTCCCACAAAACTTGGCCAAGTTTGACTTGCACATAAAATAATAACGTAAAAACTGTTTGGTTGAAGTTTGTGCATAAGAGAGAAATAATTTTAACCACATACTTATTGTTTTAAATGAAAATGCCAAAGTTTTTTGAACGGCTAAATAAGGAAATTTGGAGAAATTTTATGTGACGGAGGGAGTATTAACCTATATGTATACCAATGACATTGCAGAACAAATTTGATTAAAGGTGGAAAAGAAATCAAAAAATATGAAGAGTTAAATATGAAAAGTTTGGAGGAGCCTCTAGCTCACCCACCCTCCTGATTCCCCAACTATACAGACGACACTCGAGATTTCCTCTCTTCCTCTCCAAAGCCCTCTGACCATCACACAAGGACTAAAACTACACAAGCATAGATTCTTGAGTATGCACCACAAGAGATGATAAATACAATGAGAAAATGTCAAAGCAGAACAAGTCCACAATTCATAGAAAGAAAGATACTTCAACAAGAAACGTACAAGAAAATCACGGCTGCCAACCAGCACCGAATACGAATCTCTAGAGACTGCAACAGATGCTGGAATATCTTCTGCATCCACAGGTTCCCTTTTTAATGTTTTACGGTAGCTGTTTGTCGTGTTCAGATTTTTGCCCATGTCTTCCCACAGTGAAACATGTGTAATATTTTTTAGATTGCAATATAATGTAAATAAAGCTACATCAAGCAAAAACGCATGAATGTGTACTTCTCATACCTTCTGATAAATATTCTATTAGTTCCTCCTTAATTACTATGGGTTTTTCACCTACCAAGGAGGAAAAAATCACAAGTACCAAACAGAAGTTAATTATAAAGAGGAATGAAGTAAAAAAAATACTTTCTAACATTGTAATTGTGCATAAGAGATCAACAATGTCAAAATGCTCCAGCACATTGTGCTCTGGGCACTTCAACACTGCTGGTGCAAGGCTATGTAGCACGGAAAATCTCGGGAAAGAGTACGTTTCCCATTTCGGAAACTCTCGGAAACCCTTTGGAAACTCTCCAAATAAGTGTTTTTTGAGCAAAAGTTGATGTTTCCCGTTTTCCCGTTTCCTTATGATTTTCACGTATCCGTGCAACATAGGTGCAAGGGAACATTTTAATCTTAAGTAGCGTGTAGCACAATACTTTCTGACTCTCCGTGAAAGGCTTCTCCTAAATAGACAACATCATTCCTTTCAGCAAGCCTGCTCGCTGCCACTTTCGATCTTGATAGCATTGCACCTTGTGATCTCGTTTGCATCGGTTCCTTCTCTTGTGATTTCATTTTCCTATCTGTTCGATGTATCAATGGAAATATGATAGTATTTATAGAGAAAGAAAACCAAATGAGAGTTAACTATATCTACTTCCCGTGAGGTAAGATCAAATTACCAAACCACCCTTGATGTTTCAGAAACTTACTGAATCTTTGGGATTGATTATAGAAAATAATAATATAAAAAAGAACTGTGCATCTTCAGATTGAATTGTTACTTTTTTATGAATTTTATCCACTAAAATATTTAAACCTTACTCTCAAAAAGAATCTTTGGGACAAATATTGAGGGTAATACAGATTGAAAAAATAAACTTAGTCCTTACTAACGTCATTATAAGTTATAACATATCATCTTTCAGATTCATCATCATTTCATCATTTCATTTACCCCAGTGCCGCAAAGGCTCCCACCTACGGTGCCGCAAATCATCTTTCAGATTATTTGCAAAAAATACCAGTTAAGGGACTTATTTGCGACTTTCAGGAACCTTGAGGGTCATTTGTTAATTTGACCTAGCCTCGGGAAACATATATGCAATTAACCCTAAAAACATTGGTTAAGTATTAAAAAATGATGAGACATTCAATACAAAACCATTTTCATTTCATTTTCATTTACCCCAATGCCGCAAAGGCTCCCACCTACGGTGGGGTAAGGGGGGGTCGGATGTACGCAGTCTTACCCCTGTACTAAAGCACAGAGAGACTGTTTCCGGATGACCCATAGTGAAAATCCCGTCCAAAATTGCATGGACTGAAAGCTGCTTCATAACAAAGAAGGGCAGACAGTTTAGTGAGCCATTTTGCTTTATTCCATCATAATCTCAAGCCAAAAAATAATGAATCTTTGGCTCCATTGCAAATGATGGAAAACCAAGGGACATAAACTATCAAATGTGAGTGATTGAATGAGGAGGAAGATCTTACCAATTTGATATTTTCTACGTGGTTCATTTTTTGTCATTGTAAAGCTGCTTGGAGGATCAAAGCTGCTTGGAGGATCACTTGGTTCTTTCTTAGTTGGGATGAAAACATTACCATTCCTAGAACGTGCATCCTTTTCCAACTGCATTTCTTGCTGAAAAGGATCGGAAGGTACACCTTTACCCTTTAAGCCATAGTTATTTCCACCTGTGGTCCATGTTTCCAACATTTCAAATCGTGACAGGTTCTTCCTGTCTCTATTTCTTTCTTGTCTGCATCCAGTCTGTTGTTCAGTCATATAAAACGGTTCTTCCAAATCCATAGAAGGTGGACAAGATTTTTTCTCTTTATGAATTTCATCACTGATCTGCGTACATACTATTGCCAATGGCTGGCAATTACTGTTTTCTGGAGTACTGGGACTTTCTTCGTTCACTGAAGTCACATGTATGCCCCCAACCTCTCCTCTCCCTAGTGAGCTATTGTCAGTCCGCGCCCTTTTGTTACTTCTGTTTGTGAGTGGTGCATCAGAGCTGGTTTTAAGACAACCACTTTGTCCATCTACGTAATAAAAAACATTGGATAATCAGATCTATTTCCCGTTAGGATAGCTCATAGCTCAAATTGAATTTGTTGTTATTTTAATGTATTTTATGAAGTAAAAGATTTAAAGCCTTCTTTCAAAGGGATCCTTAGGACAAATATTGAGGGTAATATAGTCTTGGGGAAAAAACTGAACTCCTACTAATGTCATTATAACGTATAATTTCCATTCATTTGCAAGAAACAGTAACTGGTTGAGGGACTTATTTGCAATTTTCAGAAACCTTGAGGATCATTTGTTAATTCGAGCTAACCCCGAAGAAGCTATATGTAATTAACCCTAAAACTTCAGAAACCTTGAGGAAGAGATTACCAAATTGAGATTCTTTATGGAGTTCATTTCTGGTTGTTGTAAAACTGCTTGGTGGGTCATTTGGTTCAGTCTCTTGCTCAGTCATATGAAACGGCTCTTTCAAATCTACAGCTGGACAAGATTCTTTGCCATTATGACCTCCATCAATGATTGGAGCACATGGTGTTGCTAATGGCTGGCAATGTAAAGCACCAGGACTTTCTTCGTTCGCTGAATCCACATGTGTGCCCCCAACCTCGCCTCGTCCCAGTGAGCTATTGGTTTTGGGACAAGCATTCCGTCCATATATGTGAACGACAAAGTGTTTTGCTGGCCTTGTGAAGAAATAGAACAGCAAAAAGTCCCCCTTCTCAATGTTATGGTTCAATGAGAATTGGTGCCATCCCTGATGGATAGCCAGTGAACCGTTACACTTTGAAACCGTAGCTTTTGATTTAACTCCAACAGAGTCCTCAAGATAGATTTCTTGATCAGTCAAACAGGATGTAGCTCGAGCAAATTTTGGAGGCAGATACTGCAAAGGGTATTAAGTGGCAGCTTGAGTAAGACCTTGTTCAGTTGGGAGATTTTAGATGGAGGGAAGGTTGAAGGTGATATTATTTTATTAATGCATTACATATATTCAAATGCATGATTTCACTAAATATATAGTTCTTCCAAATTGGGATGAATTTAAAAGTTTGCTACACTTTCCCTTTTTAGTAAGTTTTCCCTTTAAAAGTACTCAATTACCCTTGCTTTTTCTACTTTTTATCTTCTCTTTCATACTTTTACACTCTCTCTCATACTTTTCTACACTATTCATTACCCCTACTACTTTTCTCCTTGAATAATGTGCTAAAGCTATATGCAGCAATCTTTAAAATATGGAGGGAGTAGTTATTTTCTAGTCAAACTCAAACACTAACAAATAAAGATTGGTAAACAAAAATCAATCCTTTCATCCCCTCCTCACATAAATCCTCGGGCCAACTTAACCCTGAGTGTTAAAATTGCAGCTTGAATGACAACTAGAAATAGGTCCAACCGATCTTCACACTATTAATTTGGAAGCAAAGAGACAAATCTGCACTCTCACTTTCTTATTCTACATGAGTAGCAAAGAGCATACAAGTCATTTTAATGATTAGTTTAATTACAACATACATGATTTAACTTAGAAGTTGTTTACTTTTGACTTAATGGACTTAATGAGAACAGTGACTTAATCGTTCAGCCATTAAGACATGTTTACTTAAGACTTAATTGAAAGCACAACTTAATCATTCAGTCAAAAACTAGCTTAATCATTAAGCTGGAATGTAGTACTCTTTCCCATTAAGACATCTATTAAGACGTCTTTTCTGTTAATCTTTTTAGTTCAATTATGAAATAGATTTATGTTAATAAATGAAATTCCTGAATGACTTTACAGCTTCATATATAAATACTACTTAATCCAGACATATATCTTAATCCAAACACACATCTTAATCCAGACATGAATTAATAGAAAAAAAGTAAACAGCCCCTTAGGATATTATATATGTAGTTCGTTTCTAGTCTATTTGTAGTTATATAGTTCTAGTTCATACTGTAATATGTCCAGACAATCTTGAAATCGTCTCAGGTGCATAAAACTATTTATATACAGCAAGAACTTGAGTTTTAAAATACTTCTTTGTGGGTGTAAATGAAAAGGAAGTAATTGGGTCATTTGAAGATACCAGTGTTTCCAAGAAGTCATTGCTGATCATGACTTTGAAGAAAGAAGTGATAGCTGGAGTTGGATTGTGTTGGCCATGAATACATAAACAATTCTGTTGACACTCGATACAAGCTGTCATCTCTGCAAGGGAAAAAAATATCAGGAAAGTTAAGAATTTTTTATCAAGCCCTTCTAATCAAAGTAAACACCACTTAAAGTAGTAATAGAAATAGAAATGCAACCCAAACAGGCCGTTAAGATAAAGTTGCATGTGTTATATAGCTTTATGCAGCTTCTTCCTACTCTGCATTCAACAATGGTATCTTACAAGTTACGACCGTCTCTAGGAAATTTGAGGCCCCAGACAAACTTTAGTATTAACACAAAAACTTGGACATGAAACTATTAGGAGCACTGTAATCCCCAATCTCAGAATAATATTAAAATCCATAAAAAATCTCAAACTTTAAGAGGTCAGAGAAACCCATATCCTGAATTTAATTTTTGGGAACAAAATAATCTCAGTTCAGAAATCAGAAGAATCAGTGAACTGTAATGCAGAACAAATTTGACTTTGGTATCCTAATTTCTAAAAAGAAAACCAGAACAAGGTATAACCTTTATATCTGAACCAAAATGGGGTTCATCTCTTACGGCCTGTTTGGATGGAGTGTTGGAAGGTGTTAGTAATGGAAATGTTAGCAAGTGTTGGCAGGGGCCCGGAAGGGAAGGTAAGTGTTACACATTATCTTACCTTGTTTGGGAGATTTACGGCCTGTTTGGATGGAGTGTTAAAAGGTGTTAGTAATGGAAGTGTTAGTAAGTGTTGGCAGAGGCCCGGAAGGGAAGGTAAGTGTAACTGTAAAGTATAAACTTACCATGTCTGGGAGAGTTTAAAAAATGAAGTGTTAGTAATGGAAGTGTTTACGCTTAAAATTGAAAAAAATGTCCTCAGACTTTTTAAATTATTAATACTCATTAGTAAATAAAACCAAGTGAAGTCCAGCCCTTCTTCCCTAACGATTAAAACATCTGCTCCGGTACACATCGCTCCGGTACACATCGCTTGACGTTTAAAACATCTCAGCCTCTTCGAATGAGTTCTCTATGTCCAATCGTGCCTTCAATTTTAAATTGACTTTGAATCGAGAAACCCATTCTACCAGGTAAATAGAGTATATTCTTTCTATGCTTAAACTCAATCGTTTCTCTGGACCTTTGGTTGGTTAAACTGAAAAGACATTTTTTAATTTCTTAGATTTTCGTATTTGATAAACCCCAAAAGAGTGATTTTTGGGCAATAAAATTCAGACTCTTAACTCGACTTGCAGCAATCAAAACTCATCATGGATGGGTTGATCTGCAAGTCGGACAACAAGAATGGTTTTTATGAAGGTCACGGTTGATCTAAAGGTGGGAGCCTTTGTGGCACTGGGGTAATGATGATGATGACGATGATGATGACGGTTGATCTGAATGTCATGGTTGAATATGAAATATTGAAGGGAAAGACTTGTCAGACACTTCCCTACACCCCAATTTGGGGTGTTAAAAAAACTGCCTATTGAAGTGTTAGAGAGGTTTTTCTGAACACCTTTGAGCACTTACTAACACTCCAATTTTTTAAATAATTTTCTCCCAAACAAGTGTCATGAACAACACCCTTCAACACTTCCATTACTAACACCTCTCAACACTCAATCCAAACAGGCCCTTAAAAACATGATGTGTTAGTAATGGAAGTGTTTCCACTTAAATTGACAAAAATATCCTCATACTTTTTAAAATATTATTAAGTAATAAGTATCCATAATTGCATGTAATGGTATATGAGCTACTTAATGTTTACTATCAAATACATGATGATATTAATAATTGTAGGTGTTGCTCCACATTGGCCTGAAAAAATATTTTACATAAAGTGCTAAAAATTGAAATTAAAGTGCTAGAAAATATACTACATATCAAAATATTCTACGTTTTAAAATTAAAGTGCTAATAAATTAAAATTAAATTGCTAAAATTAAAATATTCTACGTATGGTATATGTACATATTCTGAGTGCTAGAAAATATATGGATTGACACTACACACTAAACTAACCCCCCAACTTTTTGATTTATTTTTCTATGTCGCACTCTCAATTTCAACTCCAAATTACGATTCCTTCGAAATTGTGAAATATATTGGACCCAAAAAATATGAGCATATAACTTTGGCTATAGCTAAACGAGATTGTTCTACCGGTCATCCTTGATAAATAAAATATAATGAAAAAATGCACATGGATTAAAAACATATCAATAAATAAATAAAAATGAGATTACGAAATACACACACTTATTTTTTGTATAAAGATACATTTATTTATTTATTTATATATGTAGGTTATTTTATTCAAAAGAAAGAGAAATGAAGTTAAATTCAAGAATAGAAATATGGAATAATAATTAAAATTTCAAAATCACAATAGATGAAAAAATCAAAGAAGCCCCTTAGACATCTGGAACTCACAGGTCGGTCATCTTCTCAATTTTGCAACATGCAACTTTAACTATTCTTACATCAAATAATTAAAATTGGGATGAAAAAAATCAATAATTGAGTTTGATTCCACCAAAAATGAAACCCAGATGCATTCCATAGAAAAGACCCAAAATTTAACAACAGACCAACAAATAATAGAAGAACGGTATAATAACAGACCCAAAATTTAACAACAGTCCATAGAAGAACTGAGAAAAAGAGAGGACAAACCTGGAGAAGAACAGTCTCTGCTGGATGAAGAGTCCCAAGAGGTGAAGTAGGAGAACCGGCTCTCTGCCCGCTGCGGAAGAAGAATGGGGAAGAACGTTGGGTATAAAGTATTAAACTAAACACGCTTTCATTACAAACACCTGCTAACACACAATCCAGACTGGCCGTTACGCAAATACAGAAGTCACGATAATCTTGAAGTTTCAGAAGTGAAGATAGCAATGCGTCATGCAATCATTCCAAGATTTGAGGTGCCGAACTTACTTTATGAGTTACGGCTCATGCAAATTATGAAGTTCTGAGTTGATGCTCTGAAGGGAAACCACAGCCACGATGAAGTAGTAGCTCCGGAGGAAGTCTCTTCGGGTTTTTCAGAATTAATCAAAAGCAAAAGAGCAAAACGCTTCAATTGAGTACACTACGGAGTACTTTTTTTTACATTCTCATCATATAATTCACCTTTGTCAAGACTAATTTGTTTGTAAGATTGCTTATATACGGAGTATTTAACTTTGTACCAAGCGAACCCAGAGGCTATAGAGGAGTTTAGTAACACCGAGAAGCCCATTTGGTACCCTGTTTTTATGCCTATCAGCTTATCCCTCGTTTCTTTTATAAAGCACGTAAGTTTTGATCTCACGCGCTAAATTGTGTAATAATAAAAAAAAGTAAAAATTAAAATTATTTTTCTGATTGTATTGGCTGAAGTTACTATAGAGGAGCATTCTAGCTATTTTTTAATATAATTTTTTTTTATTTTATTAATAAAATATATTTTAAATATAAATTATTCATAAATCAGCAGAATCCGTCAATGCAATCACTTCAACCAAAACTTCATAAATTTTAGCAAAATCAGCCGATTTCGATGTTACCAAATAGGCTCTGAATCAACTAGTGATAATTTCAAATTGAACCCATTGAATTGATTGAACTTGTTAGATTATGAAAAAATTATACATAATATTCAAAGTATATCTTGTTAATCGGATAAAGAAAATATATGAAAATATAACTAAAATAGTACATAATATTCTATGGAGTATAATAATTTCAATCAATTTACCAAAAAAGTAACTACAGTCTAAAATGTTACTTAGTTTGATAATTATACAATATCAATAGAAGACTGATAAGTTGGTTGTGTACCCGTCTTAAATTCATTTCTGGGTTGTCCTAAAATAAATGTCACCTTTTCTTTTTTTTAAAATAAGTATGTGGTCTACATCATTTTACTTAATTATACTCAAATCTCAATCACAACTTCTACTTTTTCAACCACTTTATTAATAATTATGTCAAACTAAAGTATGAGATATTAAATGAGATTTTTACTTGTTCGTTTAAAAATCCAAGAAAGTATTGTTGCACAACTTGCTCCAATTCGAGTATTTGTGGCGAATCTGTGACATTAATATCTCATTATTCCTCTCCCTACTATCACTGGCCGCTACAGCAGTTTTCATTTCCAAAAAAAATACAACTTTTACATTTTTTCAAAAATGTGACGTGTATCTAATGAAGCGTCCCAACTTCACCAACCAACTCTCCATCTTCGCTTCCCATCTTCCCCAATCCCCAACCAACTTCTCTCCATCTTCGCTCCCAGCGAATCGAAGCACCGCCATCACCCCAGGTCACTAACTCCACCTTCAAGTTGATGCCTCTGTCAGCATCGCAACTCGTCGTCTCCGCCGGTATTCAACGTTGTCGGGTGAGTTGCAGGAGGTGGTGCAGTGACCGGGTTAGGCTATTAGCACCTTCTTCTTTGTCCTTTTCTTCCTAATATGTTCAATTTGGGGGGGCCTTCATTGCCGTTTTTAACATTCCAGATCTGGAATGGGGGTGGTTGTGCAAGGGAGAGGGCTAGGTTTGGCAGTGTAAAGGGGGCTGGGGAGAGGGCTAGGTAGGGGCGTGGTGGTCGGAAGCCGGATACGAAGCCCCAGAAATGGCGGCAGTGGTCGTTGGTTGCCGGCGGCGTTGGATGGTGGTGGCCGCAGGAGATGAGCAAGGGTGATGTGTGCGGTTGGTCACTGTAGGGTGGCGGCGGTGGCTGTTGGTTGCCGACGGCATTGGACTGTTGGTCACTATACGGTGGCGACAGGTTATTGACAGTGGTGATCGATAGTAGTGGCCGGTGGTGGTGCTGGTGGTGGTGTACAGTTGGGCTTGTGGCGGCCGTCACTGGCCGGGGGTGGTCACTAATGAGGGCGGCAGCGGTCACTAACGAGGGGTAACAACAGTCACTAACGAGGAGCGGCAATCACTTATCGGGGCGGCAACCGTCACTGGATGGTACAACAACATAGTCACTGTAGCAACGCAGTCACTGGCGGGGCAGAGTCACTGTGGTGATGGAGTCACTATGAAGGCAGAATCATGGTGGCCGGAGTCACTTTGAACTGCAGTGTTTAATTGTGATGTTAGTCACATTTTTGGAAATTGTTAATAGTGATCACTATTTTGTCTTTTATCCTTTTAAGTAATGTCCATGCCAAAAGGCCAGTTCAATTGGGGTGGGATTGTGTGAGAAGTTTTGTTGTTTAATTTGTTAGGAAATATTATTAATTTCTATCTCTCTCTCTTAGGTTATTACAATACTAATGTTGTGAGAAGAAGACATGGAATGATTATAACATGGTTTTTGAAGTAATAACATGCAAAATATTCTCTTCATCCCGAAATGAAGTTCAAGTTTTGATCTACCTATGAGTAAAAAATGTTGTTTCACTTTTCAAGTAAAGAGGAGTAAAATCGAGCAAAAAGTAGACACAAAGTAAGGGTAATTGTGACTTTTGCTAAAAATATATTTCCTTTCTATTGAAATATGAACTTCTTTTTGGAAAATCCATAAACAAGTGAAAACTTCTTTTCGTAATAGATGTAATACATAATAGCATGTTGACGAGGATAGTTGCATTTACATTATAAATGATTTAATCTATCAAAACTGGTTTATCAAGATTTTCTCAAAAGTACGGGAATCAATCTTCACATAAATGCAATAGTTCAAATGTAAATATTCACCGCGATGAATAAAAAACGGACTTTGTATCATTCCCATTTTTTATGGAAAGTGTTTTTATGAGAATTATACGTGCATGCTAGATAAACCACAATGCAAATTATAGTGTGGTTCAGATATAAATAAAAACATATTTGTGTCATAAAATTGTGTGTGCATGCTAGATAAACCACAATGCAAATTATACGTCTCACAATTAGAGTGGCAAGGAGACGAATCGGGAGCGTTATGCATACAACTGTACTCCCTCTATTTATTTTATCAAAATGAATTCATTATTCGGTTAGTTTTTATCCAACTGTTTACATGTCCAAAATGTAACATGTACTATTGTGATTAATCATTTGATATGTTGCGGCGATGACAAATCCTAGAGCATCAGAGGCGGCGGCGATCTTCGCTGCCTTTGTCACCGTCATTGCGAGAAGTTGCTGCTTTCTTTGTCGATACAAATATCAAAACAGGGATATGGGAAGCTCGGATGTTGAGTCTCCGAGTGCAACATGAGGTTGGACTTGATAGATTAGGGTTAGATGGACATCAGGGGCAATTCACACAATTTGAGTTATTTTTTTGTCCAGGTGATTTTTAGTCCTATTTTTTCATACTTTTTTTTTTTGTTTGGGGACTTGTAGTTATTTTTCTGAGTATGAGTTGACCATTTGGGTGACCAATATTAGACTACTAAGGATTAATAAAAAAACATATCAAAACAAGACGAGATAATGAGTCAATGACCATAGAGTGATGCTTGGCATCCGCCATTAACATCTTCCTATGCTTTCATTTTTATTTGATTTCTACCATTGAGGCATTGAGCATATGATTTTGGTCCAACTTATTCTTTGATCGAGAGTTTTGTCCGCATCAGGTTAGCATGAGCTACGTTCTTCTCCTAGCAATGTCTAGAGGTGTATTCATTGGCAGTGTAACCGATAGGATGGTGAATTTTCATCGTTCATAGTTGACAAGACTTGTTGAATCTAATTTTTTCGAGGTCCCAGTTATTGGCTGGCCTCCTGAATCAATGTCTTACTCTTAAAGAAAAATAATGTTCAACTGAATCTCGTTTTTTGTTAGCTGGTCAAACCGATGATTCAAATAATTTATGTTCGGTATAGTTTTCTTTGTTGATTATTAGTCAAATTAGCTCTCTCTTTTCGATGGCCGGTGAAGATGAATCTTTTAATTGTTTTTTTCTTTGGATTAATTTTATTTGTGAAAGTAACCAATGATTAAATTAGTGATTGGGTTTTCAAATAGAAACTGCTCTAAATAGGAGCAAAAACGTTTTGAAATTCCAAAATAGGAGTATCATGTTTTTTATTTCCTGAATATGAGTAATCTGCCAAGTTTGAAAAAAAATGTCATGTTTAAAACCTGGTAATGTCAAACTTGGCAGAAATTTACTTATATTCAAGGAATAAAAAACATGATAGTCCTATTTTGAAATTTCAAAACATTTTTACTCCTATTTAGGGAATTCTCTCGTTTTGAAAAGTGTCCAAAAATAAAGTACTCTCTTCGTCTCTTAAAACATTGCCAACTTTCCTTTTTTGGATGTCCCACTAACTTTGTCACTTTCCCTTTTAAGTAAAGAATTTGTGGTTCCAGTTAATTTTCTCTCCTCTGCACAACCTTAACCATATACTCCCTCCGTTCTTTAAAACTTTGTCATCTTTCCTTTTTGGGACGTCCCAAAAAACTTTGTCACTTTCCCTTTTAATCAATTATTTTGTGGTTTCTGTTATTTCTTTCTCCTCTGCACAAACTTCAACCACACAGTTTTTACTTTATTATTCTCCGTGTCGGTCAACTTTGAAAAAGTTTTAAGGGACGGAGATAGTAATTTTTACTTTATTAACTTTGTCAACTTTGTGGTCAAATGGACAAAGTTACGAGGGAGGGACTAAAATACTAACAGAATCGCAGGGAGTAATAACGATTTCTGCACGGGTCAGTCAAAAAGCTAAGATAATCCGCCAGGCTATCGGCAACTGGTAGTAAATTTCCCTCAAAAATTAAAGACGGTGACTCCACTCTCTTTTGGTAAACGGTCGTTTTCTTTATCACCCCGAGGTCTCATAAGTACATCCAGGCCCCGGACGCCATTGTCTGTCTATGTTTCTCTCCGGCGGGTGTTTACAGTGCACCAGCTGTCGGATAAATCCATTAACGCCGTGTTTTCTTCTGTAATTTAAGCCACATCTCATCACAGGTACATTGTCATTCATTTCCAGATCTGGAATTTCTTTACGATTTACATTCAGATACAGAGCCACACACATTTGTGCGTATTTAGATATCGATTCTCAAAATTGTATTCAATTGTATCCTTTTTATTTCGTTTTAGGAAGAAAGGTTATTAGATTAACAAATGAATTCCAATTATGGGAAGTCAAATTTGACGTCGGGCTCTATGAACAATTTCGATTTGGATTTCGGGCTGGGCGCTGGGCGTTCCCGATCTCTCAATGACCAGAAGAACCAAGCGTCTTCTGCGCAGTCAAAGCCGTATGCGGCGACATCTTGGACGCACCAATCC